AAGCCACACACACACACTCCCCTCGTGCCTATGGTACGACAGCTTTTCTCCGTGCCCCTGGTACACTGCGCAGAACAATCTTGCCACACACACACTCCTGTGACAGGACGCCTCTGAGATAATCGATTATTCTCGTTCACGTTCTCCTCGATCAGGGTCGTGACTCCGTGATCAGCTGTTCGGGGTCACTGAGCTCAGATTTTCCACCAGCTGCTGGAACAGTCTGGCTGGAAACGCCGGTAAAATGGCGGCTTCCTGTCATTCGAGCTCGGGCAACTTTGACAACATTGGTCACATTTACTTTGTAATACTGAGCGGTTGTTGCTAACGTCCCAGCAACACATTATAAAAATGAGTATTCAGCTTTAACTGAAGCGCTCGCTGCCTCTGTGCGCTCGGCCGTGATGCTGTATTATGACAGATTCTCCAGGTCTGTGAACACGGGCCGCCTCACCAGCGCTGACACCGACAGAGCACTGCAACAACCAAATGTCCTCGGTGAGGAACGTCCAAGGACGCGGAACGATCACGCAGACGAACGGCGACTGAAGACTGGCGTCTAAACTCGATCCGGTGCTGAGCCTGTGAGTGCTGACGTAAAGGCGCACAGCTGAGCGGCTCGGAGACGGGACGAGTGTATGATGCAGAGTAAAAGGCTGTGGCTATTTCCTGAAAGCTATATGCAAGAATTAGGCCTTTGAACAAAAACACATTTCATTTTCCTGTCAGGAACATGAACTGTGGAAAAGCAGCTCTGTCCCCGACTCTGCAAGCAAAGCCGTTACTTTAAGGCGCCCCCCTCAGCGATGCACGCCGTGGGTCAGATGACTGCGTGGTCCAGCTGCGGGTGGTGCTAGCAGACAGAGCAGTGGATGGATGTCAGCTGAACACGGTGAGGTGAACGTATTTGGTGTGAGCAGCTTCATCCTCGCTCAGTCTGAACTCTGAGCAGCTCTCCGTCTCTGTGAGGACCTTCAGGCGGTGGATCCAGCTCTCCATCACACCTGGTCCTCTGATCTTCAGACCAGTTCTTGTGTCACGCCAACAAGCCTTTGTTTGAACTCCTGACAGCAGCCATGAAAACACGCCATCGTTTCCAGCATAATTTGGTTAACGTAGCATCGATAGTTACAGGCAG